GCTCCTTTTATAATTATGGTAGATGGACCCCAAAACCCTATTCTAACTATTAAGGCCCCTATAGTACACCATACCTGCCTCGCGCCCAACCCCAAGGTTTGGGCCGAAAGGTTTCAGGATTTTTTTTATTGGGGGGGTTTCGGATTTCAACCTCCTGAGTTTCGGTTTCGAGTTTCGTTTAGCCTAGCGTCTAGGGAGTTGGCAAAACTGGCCGGAGCTAGGGGTTGTGTTGGGTGCGACTGTTGTTGTAAGCAGTTGCAATCCTGTGTTGAACAGACGCGGCCGATGTGTCAGAGCGTCCTGGACATGAACAGAATCCTACTCCTACTCCAAGCGTGATATGTTCAAGCCCTGACCAGATCCAAGACGAGGCCACTCCAATGCTGAAACATCCAAGCCTACAGCCGCCCCAAATCCAATGGCTTCTTGTCCGAGAGTTCGCTGAAACCCTATAGGTACCAAACCCAAAGCCCTAAACCCTAAATCGCAAGACACCAAAACACCCCAACACACCAAGCTTGGCAGGGAGGGCGAAACTTCAACGAGCAAGGAACTCCTCTGGCCGGTGGCTTGGACTTAAAATTATACTAACAGTCGCATGTCAACAACGATAACAGTAAGAGCCATGAGAATAGCCAGCATAATCAGAGTAGTTTTAACACAAACCACACGGTAATGCTACTACTACTACTATTACTAATAATAATAATAATACTACTACTACTAATAATAATAATAATCATAATCATAATAATAATAATAATAACAATAATAGTGATAGTAATACTAACAATCGCCAAACAGTAGCAATACTAGTAGTTTTGGTAGCATTTTCTCTGACAATAACTACAAGAGTAGGAACACGACGACTAGCAGTAATACTGATACTAACATAGCAAGAAAAAGCCAACACAATAATAATAAGAAGAATAACTGTCAAAATCAGAATCATAAGCACAGCCATAATCACGATATTCATAATCATAACAACAATAACATTAACAATGATGTTCCTACTCGTAGATATTGTCCAGGGCTCCCTGACATAGTTCTGGAAAATTAGATCGCAAGCTTTATTCTACTCATGAAGGCTCTTCTATTGGCGGGCAAGAACTCTGTTCATGCGGTATTGGCGGGCAAGAACTCTGTTCATGCGGAGGCGCGAAGCCCTCATAAGCCTTGCAACCCAAGCCCATGCAACCATACAATTACCCTACGAGTAGATCCCAGAGCTCTTGAGCCTCAGAGCTCGAAGCTGACAACACGTTCGGAAGCTTTGCAACGCAACCTCATGCCAACGGCTCGGCAAAGAGTCCGAAGCAGCAGCAAACAGTAGACCCTGACTGCACAGCAACTGCAAGTGGTGAACTGCTAGTACTAATTTACTTAAGCCCTTACAGTCGTGTCCCATGCAGATGGCGCCATCTGGGGTTCCATGTTGATTTCCAGGAGGGAGGGGTAGGTTAAGAAGTCCGTCAGCGAATACCAGGAAAACATTTTTTGTGTTAATCTGGCTGAATGATAATCGGGCTTGAAAGGACTAAGCAGAGGAAGAACATGCGTTGGCAAATCACCACTACCACCACCACAACAACCACCACAAGCACCATAGATTCCATAGCTACAACTACAATCGTCGCCGTTGTTTTCAACTTTGTCGCTCCGTCATGTTCACCATCATTGGTCAGTAGCAACACCAGTAGCGGGCCTCACTGAAGAAGCATTTCCCTCAGCTCCAAGGTTACGGCGTGGGCTTGCCCCTGAGCCGGCTCTATGCGCGCTATCTCGGGGGCTCGCTACACCTGCATCTTGGGACGCAGGAAGTGTGCGGTGGGTTTCAGGTTGGAGTTTGGGGGCGAAGGCTCTATGTGTCGGGGCGTTTTGCAGCTTCTATTCATGTTAGCTTATCCCGGCCCAGAGAGCCTGTGGATGTAGGGTGATGTGTGTGAGGGTGTGTGCGCCTGTTTGAGTGCGCAGGGAGACCTTGAGAGAGTGCCACCAGCACCAGATGTTGTGTCAGGTTTGCTAGCGGCAGAATCGTCTCTTATTGACGTGGGCTAGGGGTTTTCGGGCATTAGCAAGTCGATCGTTGAGATCTAATATTTAATGTAGATGGTGTTTAGAGGCATTCTCGCAGACTAATGTAGGAGCAGTGCAACCACAAGCAGAGCCGTGTCAATACAGGGTTTGGAGTTGGTTTTGATTTTTAGGTGCACAGAGCACACACACACACACAGATCTCCACAAAGAAATCCGAAAGCCTTACTGCAGGAAATCGGGGAGTGATTGCTGGTTGTAGTGCGTAGGGGCTTAGGCTTCTGAGTTTTGGTCGAGATGTTGGCCTTTGAGGGCTTGAGTATTAGTCTTAACTAGTCTTGAGCTGAATTAGTATTACATGTGCAGTCTCCGCCTGCTTGAGCGTAGACTCGTGTTGACCAATCCCACAGAAAACTGAACGCTGGCGAAGCATGAGTGACCACAGAGCCCTGAAACTGAAACGAAACCTGTCTCCCTCGTACACAAGGCTTCGTATGCCGGCGTGTTGCGTGCTGTTTTTGTCCTGGAAGTGTCATTGTGGGTACGGTGTAGCCCGTAAATGTTGTCTTGCCCTCCTGAGTGGAAGATCTTTTACCAAGGCAGTCGCTGCCCGGCGTGGGCACCTGCGCTTACTTGTTGCTTCGCTTGGAAATCAGTAGGCTCGTGTCCCTAAGCCCCTTCAGTAACCGCAAACCGACAAAACACCCGACGCTTTCCACCTGCCTCAACCGCTTCAGCAAAAAAGCTCTCAACCCGCAAATCCCGGAAGCCCAAACCCTGAAGCCCTCAACCGACCGAGTAGACATGCCGATGGTGTTTCCACCTGCATGTTCGCTTGGAAGTCATGCTGCCCACGAGCACTGGATGGCATGATGCAAGACAAGGTGCCCAGATCTGCATGTGAAAGTGTGTGTGTGTGTGCGCGCGCATGTGCGTCGGCATGCATGTGTGTGCATGCCATGTTTTTGTATAAGTATGTGTGCAAGTAAAGACATGTCCCGTATTCATTTGTACACTGATTCGTGGTTGTGTGTGACGCAGTTTTCGGTATAAAAGCCAGTGGTTAGATAACTGGAGACAAAAGTATGTGATATATGTGTAGACGTGTCGAATCTCACATAAAGCTGTTTAGCTTCGTCGCTTTATCGCTGTCTTTCTCTCTCATCCCCTGTCCTTCTATGTGTGTGTCTATTCGGTGGTTTGTTTATCACAGGTTCAGGGTCCCGATCAACTCGGCATGTTTCACACGAATCAAGCACCTGCGGACACCCGAATCCTCAAGCTTGTTCCACCCAACACCCTGGCTGAGGTATCTCAAGCGCATCGAGAGCGAAGCCCGTGAAGAGCTACCAAATTCCACCTCAGTGAGCAGCACGAATTTGATCTGAGGGAGCCACTGGAATGAATGTCAACATGGAAGTATCTTGTTGGAAGCAACAGGAAGTAAAGAAAGTTGTGGAAGAGCAGTGAAGTTACTATGCCGAAGAGCGGGCCCAATGCACGACCCACCAGGCCTAGCGCTGTTCAAGTTTGCAGGAGGCAGAAGCGCAATCGCGCAAGCTTCTGAGTTTCACCCTCGCCCTTCAGGATTGGCTTGACATGGCTGGCTTTGCAGCCGTAGTGAATAGCCCTTGGCTTTGTCCCACTACTTCCACTACCACTACCACTAGCTCGCTGTTGCGACCACGACCACAACGACGACAACAATAACTGCTGCTGCTGCTGCTGCTGCTGCTGCTACTTCTGCTGTACTACTGTACCATTGCTGTATTAGAAATGCTAGTAGTAGTAGGACCACCACCACCACGGCCACCACCAGCACCACCACCACCACTGCCGCCGCCACCACCCCCGCCCAGTACTAGCACTAGCACAAGTATCCTGCTAGTATCCAGCTACTACTTGTGCTGCTACTCCTGCTCCTGCTCCTGCTTTGCTCCTACGGCTACGACTACGGCTGCTGCTATTGCTACTACTAATATCAAAAATGCCACTATTAACCCACCGCCACCACGACGACGACGACGACGGCGTGGCGGCGGTGATGATGTCGAGTACTACTTCGACTCCGAGGGCTACGACCACGGCGACTGTGACGACTGCTGCTGCCGCCGCTGCTGCTGCAGCTGCTTCGACTACCACCATCCGCATTATCCAAGACAGCCCTAATCTCTGACCCTAAAGCCGCAGCAGCCTTGCCATGCCACGGAGCGTTCGCTCATCGGCTAACTAGATCCGGAGTGCTCCGCACAGCAGATCCGAGACGCTTATCCTAGATTCCATATGCACACGAAGCCCGCAAAGTTGGCGATTGCCACCACCCAAGAGGAGGCTGTTTCCTGCAAACACTCCACTCCCAGCATGTAGCAAGAGACCCGAATCCTCAACAGCAATTGCCACATTCCAAACGCTCAGCCCGAGATCCAAAAGGCCTCAAGCACTGCAAGCCGCACAAATCTTTAGCACTCCAAACTAAGGCCTTTTCGAAGCCCTTGCGTGGCGTTTTCTTAACCCTTTTCAAACGCGCCCCCAACAGCCCTTAGGATTCTTTCGCGAAGCCCTTAGCCTTATCTGGAAGACCCTTTAAAAAGCGCGGAAAAGCCGGAACCCCCGCAGAGCCTTAGCCCCGGCAAAGACCCACTCATGTGCATACCAGCTGCTGTAGTGACAATACGCTACTAGTTATTACTAGCCTAGTACCCCAAACCCTCGCGTCCTGCTCTTGCCAGTGCAATTGAGCTTGGTGAGTGTGCGGGTCTCCGTGCCGTTTCAAGCTGCTTCGAGTTTCAGGGTTTTAGATGTAGGAGTTTGGGGCGCAGAGAAGACTCGCCACGAGCGTCGGCAGACCGAAAATGTCGACTATGTCAGTTGGTGGTTGAGGGTTAGTGCGGATTTTCTGCCTGTGTCATATTAAGGCATACCAGGATCATTACTGCCGCTGGTAGTGCGAGCTGCGCCGAGAGGCCCAATACTGGTCTCCACGCGACGGCACGCCAGCAGCAAGCGCGGATCGTGAAGGAGGGGTTCCTTCTCCTTCGCCAGGGTTCCCTCTTATGGGGTCCTTCGTGTGTAGTAGTGTACTACATACTGTGATCTATCATGATGCACTATGTTACACCGTAGTATACTAAAGCAGCACGAGTCTCTGAGCAGCTGCTAGCCAGAACAGACTAGAAGTCTGTTCAAGCTTCAGCGTAAAATGAAGGGAAGGTGCAGAGCAGAAAGCGGCCGCTTAAACCCACATCCCAGATCCTAACCCTTCACAACCTCACTCCGCAACGCAGATCACAGAAGCCTGACTGAATCAACAGTACATGTCCTAGGCTTCCTTACGACCCTATAAGCCCTCAACCCTTTAAACCCTGAGCCTTAAACCAAATATAAGTACAGTCATCATAATATGCCGAACACTAACAGCTGCGGCAGGCGATTCCTCGCAGTCCCCTCTGGCATCCCTCAGGCTTCCGTTTAGGGTTCCTCTAAGGGTTTCTGCAGGGTACTGTAAGGGTTCTTTTCGGTTCTTACAAGGGCTCAGGGTTTGGGGTTTCGGCTGTTCCGGGCGAGAGAAGCCTGCCGCAAAAGGGTTTAGAACAGGGCTTCGGGTTCAACAAGGTTCAAAAAAGGGTTTAGGGTTCAAAAAGGAGTCCAATCGGAAACTGGTGGCGCGATTCCATGTAAGTATGTGCCGCGGATTTTGCAGCCTACATCGAATTCGCTAGAATTGCGACCGCGACCCTGGATGCAGAATGGCACGTGCTGGGGCACCCTGTAAGGTACCTAGGGGCATGGTGATGGTGATGGTGGTGATGACCATGATGATGACGCTTTGCCAGCTTTCTGGCAATGCCACCGTAAACCCCTACGTATTAGGTCGCCAAAAAACTCAAAAGTTTCGAAGCTCCTGAGCGCTCTTTTCCAGCAGGCCCTCGGAGGAAGCAGTGGAACGGCCGTCGTCGGATCTTCAAGCCGAGGATCATAATTATTGGTAGAATCCTTGTTATCATTATGGTTGTTGTTACTATATTATTATTGTGTGTTATAGGTTATTGTTATGTTTGTCTGTCACAGTATGTTATCGTATGTTTTGGTTTTAATATGTTCTACTTCTCCAAACCAAGTTCCGTGCAGTGCGACCAGCTAAGCAGGTGGGGAACAAGTATATTCTAGTACACGTCAGGAAATTCCAGTAAAGCTAGGCGAAAACTCTGAGGCCTAAGCGTCCCTAGAGGTCAGCATGATCATTCATACTTCTCCTTACCAGAGGGTTGCAGGTGGTGATGGTTATGCCGCTGACGGCGGCGACAGCGAGGATGATGCTGATGCGTATCAAGATGAGACTGGCCCTGATGATGGTGGAGGTGACGGTTGCGATGTCTTCAGCTCCCTCCGAAGCTAGAGCCATGGATGCCATCTCTTTGACTCGGAAGGGAGTGGAAGCCCGCCTGGAAAAGTCAATGCCTAAGCCTAAGCCCGAATCTACATGAATCTACACAGTATACTCAAGCCTAATCTCGAGTCGCTCCACCCGGCCATGTCGGCTATATGCCTAGTTTTGCTTGCAGGAGACCACCAGCCTACCAAAGGGTCTCGGATTTCATATGCCCTTAAAATAAAAGACCAGAGCGCCTCAACCCCACCATCTAAAAAAGCCATGAACAGAAACACACACCCTTGTGAACCCCACCGAGAATTTCCACTCCTATGTGGTGGGAAATCTTCTAAGGGCTCCCGGATTGCACCCTAAACCCTAAACCCTAAATCCCGGATTGCGCAGGAGGCTGATCGAAGCGAGGGGCGCCGCGAGTCCGATGATGAAGCTGAGTTTGAGGCGATCCTAGGGTTGAGGGTTTGGGGAACCTTAGGGTTTGAGGATCTAGGGGTTTTGATTAGGGTTTAGGGTCTAGGGAATTAGGGTTTAGGGTTTGAGGGTTTAGAGGTTTTAATTAGGGTTTAGGGATTTAGGGAATTAGGTTTTGAGGGTTTAGAGGTTTTAATTAGGGTTTAGGGTTGAGGGATTTAGGGAATTAGGGTGTGAGGGTTTAGAGGTTTTAATTAGGGT